TTCGTCATGTTTCCACCTTGCCCGCATAGTTTTAAAACATTATGTGCATAATTTAATTCCATATTTAATATATAGATTTTATAACATTTGGAAACTACTGTAAACCAAAAATTCCTAAGAATTTCATGTTAAAAGTTTTATTTTAATTGGAGTCGAGTTTATAAAATGTAATTTATTAAAAAAATCTGTAATATTTTAGTCCATAAAATTTTTTAATATTAAAATATTCATCAGATTTTAGGTTTAGTTAAGAAATAGGGCTCATATAAAGAATTCAATCAAATTTCAAGTATGTACCATTGGCCATTTTTAAAATATCGTGCGCGCAAGGTGGGAACGTTACGAAAACTTTTGTCACAAAGCGGATTAAATTACAAAAATATCTGTGGCAACACAAAATTTCTGGTTACTAGTTTCCGAAACAGCTATTTTATGTAGTCAGCTGTAAAAAGTTGGAAGTAATTCATTTTAAATTAAATAAAATATCTCAATTCTTGCAACAGTCACATATTCGAGGGGTGTCAAGGGGTTTAAGGTGTATGAGCCCCCTTAAACATACTTTGCATTTTGTGTACGTAACTTAAAATAAATGCGCTAGGTTTAATTTCTTTAAACTATAGAAACATTTTTATTCAATGTTAATAATTTGATGAAATTATGCAGCTCTTAAAAGAAAGGAGAAATAAAACTACGAAATATGTCTTCGAGTTGGAAATAAATCAAAAGCGACATTTCTAAGATAGAAGCTACTTTTAATATGATATTGGATGAGAGCGTAAAGCTAAATTTTTTTAAGTTATATCAGTTCTAATTTTATCTCTTTTTTAAATATAAAAAAAAAAGAGATAAAATTGTATATATACTTAGAGCATCAAGAAAGAATAATACTTTAGCATAATTTGTTGCCTAAAATATGTTGTTACAAATTGTGTATTTAGATAGCTAATTTTAGTAGAGACGAATTTTAAGCGAAAGCTATGCCGGAAAAGTAAGACTACAGAGTCATGTGCATTTAACTTTGAATAAACGGATAACTCGGTAATTTGTATTGAAATTAAATAAATGTAATTGACTACTGTGTTAGCTTTAACAGTAATTCCATCTTCTTATTGCTCTCCAGTAATTTCGAGAAGCAGAAATTGCTGGAAATATGTCGTGACCTATCTATAAAAAGCTGGAGAAAGAGCGGTTGTTCAGGTGCTTAGTTATTGTTATGGCGATTTATCTAGATCCGCGACAACTGATATATCTGTATTAGCTTCCTCTCTGTATAACGCTTTGCATTGCCTTATATTTAAGCGTTTTTAGCAGTTTGAAGTATAACAACTGATTATATTGTATTGTAGTTTGAACACTTGTATGAATATTTCTGAGGAAAATACTTCAATGTAGTACTAATTTAGTACTTCAATGTAGTAATATTGATTAATATTTTGATCACTGGAAACACATTAAATCATGACGAGCGTGCTGGGTGCCCCCTTCCCCTGAAAACCTCTTATACTATTCAAACGCACGTGCATGAGACAAAGTTTCATCGCCATAACCCTCGGCTAACATTTGAATGTTTTCCCTCCGTGGATGATCTGTTAAGTTTCGTAAGAAACTTGATGTTGATTCGCTGTTGGATTTTCGCATTAGACATTTTTCTGGCAGAATGCAGCTGTACGGGTTACTTCAATGACGCAGTACTCCCTGGCCTGGTCGGTTAAGTCGAAATTGGCCGCATTAATAGAGAAGGTGTATAGCAACCTGACGACACTAAAACAGCTGTTGCCAACTCCACTCTGTTTTCAAGCAACACAGTCTCGTTTTTTTTTTTTTTTTTTTTTTTTTTTTTTTTTTTTGTATAACAACTTGAATTTTTTTTGATAATAATAAATTTTATTAACCTATTATTGGACTTGTGCATTCAATATATTACGAATCCGTGCGCAGGCAACAATATTTATGTATGGCAAATTAGAAACAAAAATATTTTAGAATAATATCTTGCCATAACAATGAAATTTAAAAAAAATGTGAAAAATCTGAGATCTTGCAATCCTAAAACAAAAGAAAATGAAATTTAAAATTTAGAAGTGCAAATACATTCATTGACAGTACGCTGCCTGAAAATATGGAAAGAATAAATATTAACAAAGGAAGTAAACAGTAATAAAATATATTATCGCCATTAGAACAAAAAAACTGGATACTAGATAGGTACCTTATGTAATAATGCAGAAAATCTCAGCTTTCTATGTCAATCAATCAGGATTACTGGTTGACCCGTATTCAGTCAGTATCCCGTTTTTGTTTTCCCTCATCAGATAATAGCAATAATGTATATTCAGTTCAGTGCTATTAATAATAACAGCCAATGTATTAGTCCCTAATAACACGCTATTGAGAAAGTATTTTATCCAAGGGAAATGCGTTATTACGCAAATTTTCTGGGAACCAAAGAAACCAGCAATTATATATATATATATATATATGTGCTCTGAAACATTATGAAAGCAATGTTCATGACTCAGTATATATATATACTATGCCTTTTCAGATTAAAATATGTACTTACATATAGACATAAAATCAAGAGAGAATAATAAAATCAAAATTAAATTATGAAAGGGAAAAAATTTCCAACAGTTTGTACTCAGATCAAAATTAAACAAAAGCAATTCAATAATATTTATTAAATATAATAAATTCGTCTAAACTAGATAAAAGAAAAAAACATATGTAATTATTGAAATTCCTTCGCCCTTTTCCAAGAAGCAGTAGAAGAGTTTTTCAGTAGAACCACGTTCCTGAATTATATGGCAGTAAATTCTCTAAAAACCATATTACAAAAATTGAAATTAAAAATAATTGTTAAATGTTATTAGTTAATTAAAATAATCAAATAATAAAAATGTTTCAAAAGTAGAACAAAGTAAAATTAAATAAATAAAACAGACGTAGAAATTTAAGTAATAATATATATCATTTGTTTGAAATTTTATTTGTTTTAATATTACTGTTGTTACTTTTTAATATTATATATATATATATGTGTGTGTGTATGGTTTATGTGGTGCATACAATATAAATAAGAATAAGAAGAATTATTTCTAGGTCCAAAACTAAAAAAAAAAAAAAAAAAAAAAAAAAAAAATTAAAAAAAAAAAAAAAAAAGAAATTTCTAAGTTTCTAAAATTTAAGTTTAATGATATGACTATTTACAAATCAAAATTTCAGTTACATCTGAGCTTCATATGAAGAACAAATGCATAAGTTATTTTAAATTTTAATATCAATAAATAAATAAACACACACTATGTGTAAAGTTTATCCAAAGTTTTTAGCAGTTATTTTTAATTAAAGCTACTTTCCTCTCCATCCCAATTTCAACTTACAATTTCCAACCGGAATGCGTTCTTAGAATCGCGTTTAATGCAAATGAGTAAGAGAAGTATTCAAGTCGAAGTTCCACTGACTTCGAGAGAAAGGCTCAGAGTTTCTGACTAGCGCGCGTTTGCCTTTTGGCTACGTCTCTTTAAGCTGTTACTATGCTACGGCCGTATTGAAGTAGAACAATAGCTTCCCTTGATAGCTTCGCTAGCTTATTCGATATTTAGGGGCCAACTACTTAAAATTTTGATAACTTCGGCTGTATCATTTAAGCATTAGTTAAGTCTTATTTCTTATTATTTTGAGTTCAAGCCCAAGTGGAGACTTCCTGAGTAAGACGTCCTGAGTAAGGGGCCATCTGTTAACTCTTATTATGAGCAATAAAGGGTAATTAACCCTTCTAGAGTTCACGTCTGTGTTCCTGAACTTACGCGATTATTCACTTAGCTGTTCACGAGGTTCCTCCACATTTAGTTGTAGATAAAAAACATTGGAGCTCGATATTGAACTATGCCATTAGAGAACGAAAAATGTACGTTGGCCCCTCTGATCTTTCAAATCCCTCAACCTCCACCAAACCCGATGGAGGGATTCGGATTTATCGTGGAAACAATGAGAGAAGCTATGAAGCCAGCTGCAACATTCAACAGCAAAGGTTCCGTGATGACTTTCCTGGAGCAGCTGGAATTGCATTTCACGTTATATCCAGCGGACCAGCTGCAGAAAATTACTATCGCTATAACAAACCTAAAAGGCCCCTCAGCTGGACCCTCAGTTTGTCCGAAAGAGCTAGCAAATTCCTGATGGGGGATCCAGGATTGGAAACATATACATAGGAAAACTTTAAAACAGCGCTATTGAAAGCATATCCAGTTGTTAGAGACCGAGCGCAGCTTGAGGGAGAATTGTTTAGCAAGTGTCAAACCAATTTCGACGCGTGAACGGACTACAGTTTTAGAAAGATCCAGATATTTAATTTACTATATGGAAAGAAGCCGGATAATGAGCTTATTGAAAAGATTCTGCCGTGTCTACTCTTGTCAATTCAGGACTTTCTAGTCAGAAAGAAGTCAGAAACCCGCAAACATTAGAGAATTTGTTGCAATTACCAGTAAAATTTCAAAAGCAAACTACTTAAAACATGTGTACAGGTAACTTTCTCCAGTATTCGAGATTTCCCCCTCAGAAGAAACCTCAAGTTCAGCAGAGCTCGTATCGGTGAACGGGGAAAGCTAAAAAATCAGATAACAATAAGACGGACCAGTCTAAACCATTTGGAAATCACCAAATGGTTTAGATTTTAGCTGCTTTTTACTTTGGTAAAAACCAAAGTAAAAAGCAGCTGAACTAAGGAGCGGAAAACAAATCAGGATGGCCGAGAAGAGGTCCCGGTCACTCGTGGGAAGAAAAATCTCTCGGAACTTGAGTTGAATACTCTAGTCGTGCAAAATTTGTCCTTCTGAATGGGAAAAGTGGGGCTGAACGTTCAAATAAAGAACAAGGTTCAGAAAGTTATTTTTTTTTTTTTTGTAGTCAAGAACTTGCTAACTTCGGTTATTTTGGGGATCGATTTTTTACGCTCAGCTAGTCCAAAGCTAAATTTCCAGAATTCTTTTCTACAGGTGCACATAGACACCGTTGAAGAAGGGGAAGGCTACGCCGGAGGTGGATCTAAATCATCTCGAAGAAGAGGAGAGAAAGAAAATGGAAGGATTGGTAAGACAATTTTGAAAATTATCTGATGATAGGCCTGTCTTCTGTCAGGTGGTCCAGCATAGAATTGACACTGGAAGTGCCCCTCCAGTCCGGTCTAAGCCGTACAGGTATGACTGCGTGAAAGAGGAAATTCTGGAACAGCATATTAAGAAAATGCTCGACAACAAAGTAATAGTGCCAAGTAGCACCCCCTACGCAATTACGGTAGTTTTATGTAGAAAGAAAAGATGACTCCCGCCCTCAGATTCGAACACATGGAGGTTTGCGGTCCATTACCGCAAGTTGAATAGCATAAATAAATACTCCACGTATCCCCTATCCATAATTGATGCAATTATAACAAAAATCCGTTCTTAGTATATGACTACACTAGATGCTATACTTTATATTCTTTTAAGTTACTTTGTTTTATAAACAACGTCCTATGTAAATTCTACTTGACATCTAGCCCCTGTATGGCCATGTAAACTCCCGGTGAAGCCTCACGGGGCTCCAGCGAGTTGTTTTTTCGAGATAGTGGAGGATGTGGGACATATGCCTGTTTACCTATGTTATACGCCAGGCGTCCCCGTCCTCCGTCACCTGTCACCTGTGACATTAAATTCCACTCCTGTGCAGAAACGCAGTTTTTGAATCCGAAATGATATTCAGAGGAGAATGGCGAGATGAAATTGCCCTCCCAAGAGCGTCATAAACATGCTGCATAGGGTCAGGAGATCTGGCTTGCCAATGCATGCTACGAATACCCTCACTTGACATTTAATCGTCCACCATCAGAGCACTATGTGGACAAGGGTTTGTAGAGACATTAAGTTATAAAGCAGGAGAAGTAAAAAATGAATAACGCCTTCGCCGGCAATCAAACCACGGACCTTTGGAATACGCGCCCAGCGTGCTGACCACTACACTACGAAGACATGCCAAGAAGACGAGAGAAATATCTTAAATACATATTTAAAAGGGATATATTATATATATCCCTTTTAAAAGTTAAAAAAAAATAAAAGTAAAGCATCCTTATAACCTCAGTCGCCTTTTAAAAGGGATATATTATATATATCCCTTTCAAAAGGCAACTTTTAAAGGCGACAAATTCTCCTTTTAGAGGATGGCTGGAGTTTAGTGGAACCAATCGCCAAATCCTCCATCCTTTTAGAATCATCATCAGCGAGAATCGCCATTCACTATCTTTTTAGTTTGGACGCCAATGTGGTTACATTAGGTTAATTACAAGCATTAGAGTTGAAAAATGGGCAACTCCTTCGCCGGGAATTTAACCACGGACCTTTAGAATACGCACGCAGCGTGCTGACCGCTAAACTACAAAGGCATGCTAAAAAGGCGGGAGAAATACCTTATATGCTCCCCCTTTTTTAAAGGGCGACTCAGGTTTTAGAGACCAAATAGCCAAATCCTGGTAGTGGAAATTCGTTATCCACCACGTTTTTTTTAAAGCAAGAGTGATGAAAAATGAGTAACGTCCTCGCCGGGAATCGATCCACGGACCTCTAGTATCCGCTCCCAGCGTGCTGACCACTATACTACGAAGGCATGCTATAAAGGCGGAGAAATACCTTATAACTTCCTCTATTGAATGTAAGACAACACACAGCTACAAAGATTTGTTGTTTTATACTTCGGTTAGTTCTTGGAAGGGTAAAACAGTACATACCTGGATGTTTTCAAACAGTATTCGAGAGTTGGTTTCAATGATAACATTTCCGATAACACTTCATAACATTTCCGTAGGAAAGAAGTGATCTACTCCAGTATCCTGAAATTCCAAGACATGTGTCAGTTACAGAAATGTCTTGCGTCTTTTGCTTTATACTAGGTTATAAATCTCGCATAGTTTAATGCTATCACTCGTGTTCATAAAAAAATAATAGAAATTGCATGTTGTTTAAATTATTACGTTACTATTTTATAGAAGTTGCATATTGATTTTATTACTGCATTACCACTTAATAAACTAATAATTATTGATATTTTGTTTTATTCTCATAGTTATATTTAGCGTTTAAATTGTAGTACTGTTTTCCAATATCGGTAGCAATATCAAATTTCTATTTTAGGTTTTGGTTGCTTTAAGTTTCATAGATACTTGATGCAAGGGTTTATTAATTTTGGCATTGTTTACATACTTTTGATTCTCTGTAAATAAAAGAGAGTAGGAAAATTATTACATTGATTTTAAAAATCTCAGTTGTACATATGCACACACGCTTTCGTATCAGTATATAGAATGATCCAAATTCAGAAAACTTTGCGATAAATTTGTTTTGCAACTAACGCATAAATATGTAAATGTAAGATTTTAAACAATATGAGAATCGACCGAGACCTGTAATCTTAAATCTATGTGATGCTTAGTTATACTAAAAATATACCTGTTATGACGAGTACACACAAGTTATTGAGCGTCACCGGATTTTTAAAATGTGCAATTTCTAGGAATATGTAAAATATTCTTGAATGCAATGCGGTTTCTACTGTCCATGCATTTTGACTTATCTCCAGCTAGTACTTAGGACTACTTGCTTAAATATTCCACAATTGTATACTGTTTGGCCTGTTTAAAATATTTTGCGGACATTTGCGCTTAACATATAAATATGCATTCCGAAATATACAAATATTTATCCACGTACAAAACAATATAATATTACATGCATAGCCTTTATATATTTGCATATAAAACATAAAATTATTCATGTCGATATTTGCAAATAACCTTTATTCAGCGTTTGGTCTAGTAAATCGAGTTTGATAATCTTCCTATATTATATTTTTGGTACATTTCTGCTAGTAAGTATGCCTATATTATTAATAATTAATATGCCACACGCCCGCATTAGTGCGTTATATAATTGTTAAATGTTTTCACGAATCTTGCGATAGAGAACATACTTACATGAGTGCTATGATTACACGAATAAAAAAAATTATACTAAACTTACAGTAAATCAAAACGTATAACATTATTAAAAAAATATCTGAACGTTTTCAAATTTTATATGACGCTCAAAGGGCGTTTATTAAGGTTTTGTGTGGTACCTCTATTTATTAAATACCATGTTCTTAAACCATAAAATTTCATTCAACGGCAATATCATAAAATATTTAAAAAGAGCATATCTTTAGAATTTCTGATACACAGTCTCGCGTCCTGGAGATAAATATATTTTTTTTCATACAGTGTTGCCATTGCTCGCTTTGAAATCATTGAGCTTGTTAATAAAAAATTCCTTAAAGCTTTACAAAGCATGAAATAGATAATAAAACAAATTCCAGATTGCGAATTTGGGCTTCCAGATGCCCATATTCGAGTTGAGGACTACGGTATTCAGAATTTCATACCTCTAGGTACCGACGTGTTTTCATATTGCGAGAAACATGCATATTTGATGGCAACAAGTTGAAAAGGGAAACGCCGTTTTATAGTGGACAATGCAAAATGCCAAAAGGAAATTAATTGTCATTCTGGGCAAATTGCTCATTTTGGGCTAATAATCGGTTTTCCTCCGAAATTGATGAAACCGATTCCTTAATATATAATGAAAGATTATTATTTTCTTTAACTCATTCAGAACATTTCTTTTATTTCATAATGCATTTATACTGACCTACAAAAAGGCAGAAATGACTTTTACATATGCTATAAAAATACCCGATAAGATTCCTTGTTATCTATCCTTCATGCGTCTAGACAGGAAATCAAGTCTATTTTAGTCTCGCTCGACGTTCTTAAATCTATCTGAGAAGCATAAGGCATGAGTCTACGACTTTCGTGTCGAAAAGAAATTGAATTCGTTCGCATTTTATGAGATACGAGAAGTTCTAACTGCAAAGAACATCTGCTTGAAATAATTTTGTTTCGTGCCTTTGGTATTATATTTTACTATCAGCAAAATCATGCATGTGAATGGTATTTATTACTTATATAATATGTGGAAAAACTTTTGATTTATTCTTTTGGAGTTGCAAATTAACAAGAAATTAATTCCTAGATTATTCCTATCTAAATTCCTAGATTTTAACAGTTTCGTTTCCTAATCTCCATTTTATCTTAGATTAGAGGCTTTTCTGGCTCAAATTCCCGCCTTTACTTCATTTATCAACATGATTAATCATTATAGTATGTACACATTATAAAATATTATATTAACTGTCAAGAATTGCAAGATATCTTAGTTCAAAAAACACTAATTCGAATCACACATAACATCAAGATACATGAACACTACAAATCAGGTTTCTAAACTGCCAAGTTTATTCAAGTCTAACACACTTTCAACTTGTGGATGCCAGATCCAAGAACAAGAAGTATATATACATCATGAAAGATTTACGCCCTCTTTGGCGATTAAAATATATTCCCACATAACATTTCTTACACACTGGGCCCGGCTGAACTGTTCAGAACAATCAAGACTATCAGTGTTACATGAACAATTTCAATAATTATTTTCAAGAATCATTATGCATTTCAATACAAATTCAAGTTTTGTAGTAAAGAAATATTACAGAAATATCAAGAACATGTAAAACGTACCATATGTTTCAAGAATATCAAGTAAATTTTCAAGTAAATTTCATCAAGAATTATTGTCATAACATTCCTATTCAAGCATCAGGATTTAAATCAAGAATTTATATAACTCAAGATAATATTAAACAAATGATTTCAAAATCAAGATTATCATAATTCAACTAAAATACTAGAATTATTACAAGAAACCTGTCTTTTTTTTTCAGAATTAAATTAAAATTTTAAATACACTTATACATTTCTACAACCTTAAAATTTTCTAATATATACATTTCTTTAAATATTAAATATACAGTACTTTAAATAGCAATTAAATAAAATAGATACAACATTAGTAGCATTACGATTACATTTTCAGTAAGAAATATACTATCATACAATATTAATACTCTTAGCACTCTAAATTTAGATAGAAGTAATGGTGCTATGACTTGTCGCATCGGTTGCG